TAACAAAGCCTTGTGGGATCGAGTTGTGGCTACGTTGTATCAAATGCTTCTTTATAGAATAATCCAGGGGTATTCCTTCACCTGATTTTGGAGAATGTCCTGACCTGATTCTCGGAGACTTTTATTCCTGAAATTGAGTGTTTCTTTTGACGGCTGCCGGTCATTATATTCTTTTACACATTTCACCCTGCATTGGCTCAACGACCGACAGCTGGTCAAGAAAAACAAAAAAATGTAACCGAAATACCACTTATATTTATTTTATATGTGATTTTATATGTTTGCAAGTTGGCATAGGCGAGTAAGGCCGTAAGCGAGTTGACCTACGTTGAACCAAGATATCTGAGGAAGATCAACCCCTTTAACTTTAACTAATTGTTCTCATTTACTATTAGAAAGCAGAATGTGACTTTGCGCCATTGAAATGGCCTTTTAATCCCTTCCCAAACCAAAGCATATGTTGATTATTTTGCTACCTTGGAGTTCACATCCATCAAATAGACTTTTAGATACGGGTATCCTTTTTTTTTCAAATGACCGTAAGAGTATCCTTGACCATATTTAAGAGTATCCTTTTTTCAAATGACCGTATTTAAGAGTATCCTTTTTTCAAATGACCGTATTTAAGGGTATCCTTTTTTCAAAAGACCGTATTTAAGAGAATCCATGAGAATTTTAAAGGACAAATATGACCGCATTTAAGAGTATTCTTGACCATATTTAATTGTATTCTTTTTTTCAAATGACCGTATTTATAACGGTATCCTTTTTTCAAATGACCATACGTAAGAGTTTCCTTTTTCAAGAATAAGCACCAAACAAACTCAACTCAGTCTTTTTGTGGTTGCACTCATATTTTTTAAAATACTGATATATTTTTTAGCTTTAATTATCGATTTAACTTCAAACATAAATGTCTATTATCGAGAATGTCTCGGCTAACTTCGTCGTAAACTTGTTTCTCGTCGCTTCGTCCAAGATCAGTTTGGCGGTTAGAAATCCACCCTCATTAGCCTCAGTTTAGCGTACGATTGCTTCGCTATAAAACCAACTGGAAGGGTAAAGAATAACAGGTTTGGGTTGCTATTGAATGTTGTGTTTTGAGAAAAAAACTATATCACGGGCGTAGAGTGCTTTTCACAGCCCCCTCACAGCCCAATTTACATACATTTACTGTATTTGACGTGTACCTCTATCCGCCCGTGATGTAGTCTTCATCCGTATGTATCTAAGCCTTCGCTTTGAAACCAATATATTTTCCATATTCTCAATTCCAACCACTTGTTTGAAAGAAAATGATTATAAGTAGATTCTGAATTGATGCTTATCTTAAAAATAACATCGACAGAAGAGAATTTTAAAGGACGAACTTGACCTTACTTAAGAGTATCCTTTTTTTTCAAATGACCGTATTTAGCGGTATCCTTTTTTCAAATGACCATACGTAAGAGTTTGCTTTTTCAAGAATATGTACCAAACAAACTCAGTTTAGTCTTTTTTTGGTTCAAATCTATTTTTTAAAATACTGATACATTTTATAGCTTTAATTATCGATTTAACTTCAGGCATAAATGTGTATTATCGAGAATGTCTCGGCTAACTTCGTCGTAAACTTGTTTCCCGTCGATTCGCCCAAGATCAGTTTGGCGGTTAGAAATCCACCCTCATTAGCCTCAAATGACCATACGTAAGAGTTTGCTTTTTCAAGAATAAGTACCAAACAAACTCAGTTTATTCTTTTTGTGGTTACAGACCTATTTTTTGAAATGCTGACATATTTTTTAGCTTCAGACATAAATGTATATTATCGAGAATGTCTCGCCTAACTTCGTCAACTTGTTTCTCGTCGCTTCGTCCAAGATCAGTTTGGCGGTTAGAAATCCACCCTCATTAGCCTCAGTTTAGGGTGCGATTGCTTCGCTATAAAACCAACTGCAAGGGTAAAGAATAACAGGATTGGGTTAAGAGTGAAGGTGTGTTTTGAGAAAAAACTATATGACGGGCGTAGAGTGCTTTTCACAGCCCCCTCACAGCCCCCTCACAGCCCAATTTACATACATTTACTGTATTTGACGTGTACCTCTATCCGCCCGGGATGTAGTCTTCATCCGTATGTATCTAAGCCTTCACTTTCAAACCATACAGTTTCCATATTCTCAATTCCAACCACTTGTTTGACAAAATATGATTATAAGTAGACTCTGAATTGATGATTATCTTAAAAATTACATCGACAGAAGAGAATTTTAAAGGACGAATTTGACCGTATTTAAGAGTATCCTTGATCATATTTAAGGTGACTGCCTACTTTTGAAATTGTGCGCTACTGCGCATTTTTCCGCGCATAACCAAAGATCTTTAACCACTGGCATCAGTAGATATTTTGAATTTGGGCCTCGTATTTTTGCGAAAATGTAGGAAACAATAAAAATTCAGAAAYGTTAAAATGCTCTCTTTTCATCAATAATGAAAATCTAAACTTTAGAAATGTAAAAAACTTAACTGGGTTTCAGATATTTTGAGAAATTCTGAGCTATGTGAATCGCCAATCAGCTATACGGATATGAAAGTTGTAAACATTACAAAATATTCCTCGACTAGTTTACAATAAAAAGAAATCATTACTTCATTATGATAATAATTAATATGAAAAATACTTTTCCAAAGTAACATTTTCCAGTCAGCAATATATAAAGTATAAGAAAACAATGAAATCATTAAATTTCGGGAATACATGCAAAACTTGTTTGGTCGCCGGCAAGGCTTACGTGATACTTAGTCTAGTAACTTATTTCGTCACAACATTAATCATTTAGCTTGATCATTACACCTGTAAAATCTGAAAAATAGTACTYAAAATGAAGAACAAAACWTCTTTCAAAACTAACAAAGCAAAATCAAGGGCGCAACGACTTTCGAAAGGKTTAAAAAAGTACAGACTGCGAAACTTCAGTACCGCACATCTACTCGACCACGACTATTGTGCAGCGACACCTAAAAAAACAACAACAAAAAGAAAAACCAACGAAAGCTGGAAAACAGGAAGAAGAATTGTCCAGTTTGGAGTTCTTGTCGAAGAATTGAAAGCTTGTAAGAAATGTAAAAATCCTATCRGGTTGAAAAATATCGTAGGTGAAGCTAAAGTTGGCCTTGGTGGTTTCATTAAAATCTTCTGCAAGAGATGCTACTTCGTAAATAACGTAGCTTTAGRAACAAAACACAGAAAAAGTGGCAAAACTCGAATTTGGGACGTCAACAGTAAAGCTGCTATTGGTAAGTGCTATTATGTAATTACTATTTTCATGAGTCATAGTATGAGAAATTCATAGGTCCCGCGTGTCGCATATAAAAGTAGAAATTCCCCCGGCATTGGATAATTATTGGCTCGTCCGAGTTTCTCAACACCTTTAGTAATCCGATATTTCATGTAATATCATATATTTATAAAAAATATGWTCTTTTGTCTTGCTTACCTTGAAAGTTATTCCCCATTTCGAAGTTTAAAGCCATAAACCATACCTTTTCACATGTGCAAATGAGCTTAGAGTTGGAATGACTTTCTGAACTCTCATTACGCCAAGATTTGGAGACCATCAAAAGTTCACATGGCATCAAAAGTTAGAGACGTAAAAAGGATTAATTCATTACATAACTTTGACTAAGTAAAGTCACCAAAATCTCGAGATACTCAGCAGCAGGTTGTGTATGAAAACGTGGTGATAACAAACGGACTTCCAGATTCTTCAAGATATCAAGTTCGAGTTCTCTTTCAACTTGATTTATATCACGTAGTAGTCCTCCAACTCGTAAAGGATTTGAATTTTTGAAATTTGTATTTTTTTTAACTTTTTCTACGCTTTTTGAAGACAAAATTTCGGCAAAGCTCTGTGTCATGTCTCCCTTCACTAACATTTATTACAAAGGCGCCAAAAGTGCAGGCAAAGGTGCAATTCATTCACAAAATGTAACAACCCGCACAGCATGGATGGTACGCCACACCCATACACATACACAAACGACATAACATAACAAGGAACTTTTCTAAAACAGTAAAGGTTTTTTTCCAATCTTCAAGGACCGCGGAGCACCCTAAAAAGGGGGTCAAGATTGAAAAGTAGAGTCGTTTTCCTAAACCTGGGCACTTTTAATTAACAAATAAGAATTAGCGGCATGTAAAGGCCTAAAACAAAAAAACGTCAGACATTGCAACCATCTTTGTTTGTCAATGTGTAGTSTATTTTAGCTAGAGTGTATTTGCTCATAACAGCTTTAGTCAGTAGTGCACCGATTAGGAAAATCACTCTGTGAGAAAAAGTGTGTGTGTG